ATTTTTTGAATTTTATGTGTAATCATCTATAAGCATATATGTAACTTTCTTGAATTTATTTTCTCCCGATTTATTTGAAAGTGTTATTTTATTTTCTTTTATTGATTGTTATCTATGGTGGTTTTTTGGGAAAAAATTAAAATGTGCAAATTATATTTGGATTCATAATAATAATAAAATGATGCTTTATTTAAAAAAAATAAATATATAGAATTATAAATATTAATTAAAAATAAGTGAATGATACATGAAATCCATAAAAATGCATATGAGATTATTGTTGAAAGATATTTATACTTGTAGGAGTAAAACTAGAGTTTCAGATTATTTGGGATGAAGTATTATTAAAATTGCTCTAGAATAAAGACGAAGTTAAAAAGTTGATGTTTGCCCCATATTTTTATAACGAGTGGAGGAAGGCTGGCTTTTGGGTATGGCTTTTACTCTCCCTTTTTCGAGAAAGATTGCTCCACATAAATGTACTCATTCCTGTTAAACCCATTTTGTTATTATTTTCTTACATATGATAAACCAAATTTATTATTTTTATGATATTCAACCTTTTAAAAGTAATTACAAATTTGAAAATAAAAAATCTATCTTATTTCTTAAAAAAATTTAAGAATAAATTTCTAAATTAACAGGTACACTACATGGTTGTGCACAGATAGACAATAATAATAATGCTTCTGTTAAGCTACATAAAGTAAATTTTATTAAGTAAATACGCATATTTTCATATTAAATATCACATTTAAAAAAATAATACAAAAAAAAAATATGATATTTAATGATATGAGTATGAAATTTTCATTTATAAAGTATGAAAAATTTACTTGTCATAATAATAATAATAATAAACTAAATAACATAACAATAAGTTATTAGACATCCAAGCTTATTCCACAGTCGCATGAATCATGATAGGTCATGTGTAGAACTTTTCGGCTATGAGTTGGGGAACGGAAAAGAAAATGAGAAATGTTTCGACCCAAAACGGTTGGGTGGTGGACCAACGACAGATACTTCTTGATTGATCCAAAGGGCCGTTTTTACTGGCCCATCTAAGGATGTAAATGAGTCGGGTCGGGTACGGGTTTTGGCAAACCCGAACCCGACACGCATATAATTTTATCCTACTCAAACTCGACCCATTACCCGGCTAGTGATCTTCGGGTTCGGGTTGAGTTTTATCCGGCGAGTTAGTGGGTTTTCGTCGGGTAAACGAATAACCCGAGTCTTAAATTTGGGTTTTACCCGACCCATCTCGTTTCATATGAAAAAATAAAATAAAATAATTTCATAATTAATTATAATGTAACAAAAATTTATTAACTAAGTTCTATAAAAAAGTTATATTATTTTTGGAATAAATAATGAGATATAATTATTTATATTTTATAGTTTATTTAATAATATAACATTTAAAAATTAAGCATTTAATTTTTTTTATTGTACAATTAACAAAAAATGATAATAAAGTCATAAAAAATAAAATAAAATTCAACCATTAATCAAATTTATAGACAATATAATTTTTAAAAATAACACACGACTATTTTTATATTTTTAATAAGTTATAAGTATATATATATATATATATATGTGTGTGTGTGTGTGTGTGTGTGTGTGTGTATGTATATAACTATATATATAAGATTCAATGGTTGCGGGTAAAAGGGTAGGGTAATCGGGTCGGGTAATGGGTTTTGCTACTATATCCGCACCCGACCCGACTGTTTATTGTGTTTT